GTTCTCAGTCATCATAACATAAAATAATTAGACCAGAGTAATACTTATTACACGTCCTTAGGTGAATGCAGAAGATCTTACACTTTTTTGGCTTAACATACCCAATATTTGGCTATTTTCCCTATTTGCCTGTATATGGGTCTTAAAAAAACTCATATTGTAATTAATAATTATTCTTCAAAAAAGCTAATTTATATGCTACATTTGGTTTACTCAGAAAAGTGTCTGATGGTAAATTCTGTATAAAGGTGGCCATCAAAATCATTATCGATGTCAAGCATAAGTTGAATGAGGTAAAGGAAGATAAGAAGCTGGGCGATCTCTGATTACGCTTGAATAATAGACTTAGGGAAAGTTTAGCAGGTGAAGAAGAGAAAAATGAATGCGACTCAACTGATGGTTATAGCCATATACACCTTCGTTTCACACATCCTGGAAAGCCCATCAATTCGCGATTACACACTCCCACTGATGACTTTTATTGAATCGTCAAGGTTTGAGAGGCCTGTAGTGATGTTGAGCTCTGATCTAAATGGGTGACTTCGTACCTCGAATTGCTCATCTCCATGCTCATCTCATTTAAATGTTAAAGTAACATGTTGAAGAGTAAAATGAATAAGAGCTGGTCAGATCATTCTATATTTATTCATAGTTTTCAGTTCCTCTTTAGTTGAGCATACCTAGCAAGTGAGTTAGTGCCGGTTGGGCTTTGTGACTAAGTGTTTACTCGAATTTTTGTAGAAATGTGATGCAGCTCAGATGATCTCTTTAAAATGGTATGGCAGGCGGAAGCTCAACCCATTTGCACCCGACACGAGGGAGCATGTCTCAGGAACTGTGTCAAGCTTGACGCTTATGTAAAATCAAATGACGATAGGAGAATAGGAATAAACCTTCGACCCCTGGTAAAGTCGACCTATGAATCTCAACATCAGGCACATTCACACGGAAGCAATTTCGTCAAAACACTATTATCTCATAACGTCTCTGCTTACAAGTACATTTGTTGCCAACTTCTCCTTTAATCCGTTGCCTACATACAACGTAAGAGCAACCCGGTATCTCTCAACTGATTCCATTGCTGGTATAATTGAACTGCTAATGGTTTCTATCGTGCGAAGCAGACTCTTTTCTATAAAACGTTTGACAGTCTCGGCTTAGTAACCCCGCTTAGGTTAAAAATGAAAATCGGATCAGCAAACCACCGCTGTACAGCGAGAGAAGACTGCGGACAATTTTTCATAAGAGTATGTCCTCAAGCTAATAGTTAAGTTTGTAAAAATGCGCGAAATAATGGAATGCAATTCTTTGTGCAGGCTTATTCGTGAGTAGTATATTGTTAGGGCGTAGAACGATTACTGTTTTTTTTTCTATCTTGACTAGGAGTCCCAATTTGGCTTAGTTACTCTCGCGCTGGCCAACCTTGCGGGAGAAATTTATGCGCATTGCTTTAAACCTGTTTTTTTGCATACTTTATTTGCCTCAAGCTGCTAAATGAATTTAATGCAATGGGAAAATTCGGAAATTCATCACTTTATTCAGGCCTACTTATGAGTAGTATATTGGCAAGGCATTGTGTGATTGCCATTTGTTGACTTTTTCGTCTTGTCGTCTCAATTTGGCTTGTTTGTACTTTCACCGACCAATCTTGTGAAGGGAGTTAATGCGCATCTTGAAGACCTACTTATAAATTATTGCTGTTTATTTTTCATTTTCTTCTTAACTTATCACCTTGGGTCTTTTTCCAACCGACCTTATTGGGGAATTTGTATACATTGCTTTCAGGCCTTCTGTTTGCATAGTTTCACTTCCTCAAACTGACAATTAGTTCTCATGCGATGGAAAAATTTTATAAATATATTGCCTTGGTCAAGCTTACTCGTGACTTGCGCATTGTGATTGCGAAGTTACTTTTTCATTATTTTCACTTTTTCCAGTTCTACTTGGCGTTTTAGTTGGCCTATTTGACCTTGCACAGACCAGCTTTGCACGTGGAATATTCGCAGATCTCTTAGGCCCAATTGTCCTTAGACTGACCGTTGAATTTCCCACTAAAGGGTAGAGGTAGAAATTCAGCATTCTGTTTACGCTTACTCGCGAGTAGTATATTGCGAAGCCGTAGTGTCCCTGGGACAGTTGCTCATTTCCCATCTCGCCTTGGCATTCGCACTGTTCAGTGGATAACTTTCAATATCGAGCAGCGCAAGTCTCCCCGATTCGGGGATGTTTTCGCTTCAAACCTCTGCCCATGTCCGGCGCCAGCCTCATCCTGTCTGGACGGACTGCCGACTCGGCGCACAAGCCTGTATTGTCACCAAGCTGTGAGGGGTTCGCGACACACTTCCGTAAGATTGTATAGCCCAGACGACATACGAACAAGTGTGTCGGTTTTCGGCCCGTACGCACGACCACCACGCCGAGTCGCTTCTGCCGGCGGTACCGCAGACGGCGGCCATTTCAGCCTCTCCTAACCCCCGTGTCGCCAAGGTGAGCGAGT